CTGTCTCGCTGGAGCCAGGCACCGGGATGCTGCTCCCCTCTCGCCAGCTGACATCGTGTCCTTCCCAAGTGCCAGCTTTCCCCCCCAAAACCAGGGCTCAGCTGGCTCTTCTCATGCTTCTGCCAGGATCAGTGTGCTCCTGACAGGGATTCAGATGATCTCTAATCCCACCCCAATGAGGCTGAGGAAAACATTAGCCCGGACAGTGGAGGAGACTGGAGGGATGATGTCAGGAGAAGCAAAACTGTGCTGCGGCTGTGCCCAGTATGAAGGTCCCTGAGTTTAGAGTGGGAATTTGTGGGCAGAGCCTGGCCTGTGTCTCAAGTGTTGCTCCAGGAACACGATCAAGAAATGGTGATAAACCCAGAAATTGTCTAAAATCTGACTTCAGATTCTGCCATTACACTGGGAATGATTTTGCTCACGGAGCAAAAAAAGCCACCGAAAGCCCTAAGAAAATTAAAGCAACAAATATGAGATGATGAACAAGTTTCTTTTGGCTTTTCCTATTCCTGGAATTGTCTTAATCTCTGGGTGATCCTGTGGGTTTGCTAAAAGATTCAGAAGTCTCAGAAATAACATGTTCTGAGAGTACAGGAAACTCTTGACTCTTAACTGTACCTCAATGTGTTCTCCAGCCACACAGGGGCCATCTGCAACGAAACAATGACCTTTTCCTTTTGAATGACCCCCTGCAAGACCCAACATGATGCAGTGAATGGTCAGATTAAAGATATCTGGGTCTAAAAGGGCAGCAGAAATTTTAGGAGGTAAAACAGTGGACAAAATCCTAAGAACATGAAGACATTTTAAAAGGCAGAAGAGTTGTGCTAGAGAGGAAAGCAGAATACACCGTGCTCCTACTTCTTTCCTGTTTGGAAAGCACCCAGGGAATCTCCCATCACCATAATGGCAGAGAAGCAGTAACATGTGGCCCTCTCTTACTGCTTCATTTCCTCCCACCTTCATCCCACACTGTAGCATGCACATACCTTGAAAGACTGTCAGATGCTGATCAAGATGTAACTGGGCTTGGTGCTGAGTTTACCATTACACTGAGCTATTTGTCACCAGCCTTACCCCGGCCATGGTGAGGGGTGATACTCAGCTAGCACAGGTCTGAACTTCAACACAGAGGATGCAGACTTTGTTCTCATTGCTAGTGGGAAGCATGAGCTGGGTAAAGACACCTTGGTGCCCAGCCTTGTTCTAGTTGGGGTTGATAGGTATTCTCAGATAAATGGAAGATGATTCCTCTGTAGGATGAAATGAGTTGGAAACATTTCCAATGGATTTATGAAATCCCACACTCTTGGTTTATAACCCACTCTTGTGAGAAATGATGAGACAGAAGCTCCAGGGCCAGAAATCACACTCTGTATAACTGCTAACTGGTTACTCACTCTTCATATTTAACTTCACTTTGGGTCTCTGTATCCTTGCTAAGTCTTGGCACAGGCACTAACACCAGTCTGGAGGCAGTTACAAGCCACTGAGTCAGCCCAGCTGAATCTGTGACAGCTGCTGCTAACCCACACAGCCTTGGGGAGCGACGGGGACCTCGCTGCTGCATGTTCTGGTACCAACCCACTTGCTGATGATCCGTGACTGCTGCAGCCACCCAGAGCATCCTGACAGATGGAAGGTGACTCATCTGGCTGCAGCTGGTCAGCCTGGGAAGCTGGCTGTCTCCAACAGGCAATGCTCAGAGCAAGATCTCTATCTTACAGAGCCTGTCCCAGCACAAAACCAGCACAAATCACTGCTCAGGTCACCCTGAGGTCTCTCACTGAGGTCTAGGAAGGAGTATGACATGAGAGATCATGCTCAGTAGTGGTTTTAAGCACATGGGACTATCCTTTGCACAGCCAAGTCGGTGCTCTCATATGAAGCATCACAAAAACCATCATCATGGGATGAAGACAAACGTTCCCAGCTGCCCTCTCCCTCCTCGGCAGTCTCAGGTCTGGAGTAGAGGCAGAATGGCCTCTACACGGGGGAAACTGCATGGGAATTGCTTTGGGGACCCAGCAGCAGAGCTGGGCAGGCACAAGGCTTTGTGTGCTCCAGGCTGAAACCCAAGCAAGAAACGTGGCCCTTTCCCACGCGAAGGCTGGGCACAACTTGCAGCAGTGTCTGCTCTTTCTGTCAGGAGGGGGGGACTACAGTGCGTGTGTGGGGGGACACAGAGCCCGCAGTGGGCAAACGTAATCCCCTTCTCTCTGTTGTGAGAATGGAAATACCACGCTCCTCCTCTAGAATTTCAGCTGCCAGCACTGAGCCCGTCTGGTGGATTCTGGCTGGGACACCCAATCCGGGGTAACTGGATAGCGAGCGGCAGCAAATGCTGGGAGCTCTGGGCCAGGCTGGCCCCTACCTCCTTGTCTAAACTGCAAAGAAATGTCCCTCCTGCTGCTGCTAAGGGCTGAAACCAGAGAACTGTGTGTTTGCAGCTCAGACAAACTGCCATCATTTTAAGTTGCCAATTTTTTTCTATCTCGTGAACTCTCTCCTTCCCTGTAGTTGATATTTACCCCTGCAGAGAGGAAGCAGATGCCACCGGTAGCTGGACAGGAGGATGAGAGGGTTGAGGCACAATGGGGTTTACCTGTAATGCTGTGGGATAGCTGAATTATGCACAGAGCAACCTGCTCCAGTGGAAGGTGTCCCTGCCCATGGCAGGGCTTGGAACCAGATGAGCTTTAAGGTCCCTTCTGACCCAAACCAGTCTGGGATTCTATGATAAATCACACAGAGCATCCCATGCTGAGACCTCACTAAGCTTTTACCCACTCTGCTGCATAAAAGAGGACATTTCTACGAGTTCTCATTCATGCTGTTTGGAGTATTTCTTGCATCCTTCCACTAGGAACAGCAGAGGACTTAGAAAGGCAGGATAAGTAAATATAAAGCAGTCATAAAATAACCTGGGTTAGCATTTCTATGCACAAAAGAAATAGAAGAATTTATATGCTGATGTCTTGGCCCTCACATGATTAAATGCATTAGGAAAATGGGAATCTCCTCTTCTTCGGGGTGCAAAGCTCTCTTTTCTTCAGGACTGACAGATAAAGTATCCTCTCTTTCCCATACAAAGGGCTTATTGGCTCAGGACTCATCTTCCCCTAGCCTGAGCCTGGGGCAGGGTAATTTGGGATAGGGATAAGCATAGATACAGCATTGGTTTGGTCATTTCAATGAGCCTCTGATTTAGTGAGCAGGACTAGTAAGAAGATGAAGCTACAGAAATGGAAATTGCATGATGGACCTGTACATGTCTAGTGCTTGTGTAGCTTATCACGTGGATCTCATTCTGTGGTGCTAAACTGCACTTGTGATAATCTGAATTAATCATGTGCCCTGGACCATCTAACCCGCAGCCCACCTTTGAATTGCACACGGCCTGCTCCTCTCCTCAACCCAGTGCTATTAGAAATCCCTTGTCAGAAGCATGTCCACCTATTTCCCACACAAATGACACTGGTTGAGGCAATATTCAGCCTCATGCCAGTCACCCTTTTACATTTTCCATCTCATGCCCATTCAAAGCTACACGCAGGGCGTTTACACTGTTCCAGAGAAGATGCAAAATTGCCCTCTTCCCATTGACACTCAAGTGTCTGTTTTCACACTCGAGAGATCACAAGTTATTGGAACTTAAAATCTATCTACCTCTCTGATGTCCCCATGTATTGGACTCCTCCCCCAGCAGTTGTAAGCTTTTCATTTCAGATGCCTACCTAATTTCTCCTTGTAGTTTCAAATTATTTTGCCTTTCCTGTTTTAAACAGTGTTACTGGCTGCTCTGAAGCAACTGCTATAGTGCATTTCACATCTTTGTATTTCACAAGGGACTGAGGGCAAAAGGGAAATGCATTTGGTACCTCTCCAGGATGGCAGGCACCACATGAATACAAGTCCTGGCTGTTAATTTTCAGGATACAGTATGTGCCTTGTTCCACTTAAAAGCAAATGTGCACTTGGAAAACAGATTACAGCACATAAACTAAAGAGAAGGTTAAAGGCTCTATCTAATGAGGTGACAGAAAACGAGAATCCTTATCCCAGGATAGTGATGGAGTGGGCTGTCTTCTTAGGTGGTGTTATATCCTGGGATCTCCACTGACTCCAGTGCAGCTCACCAGCTGAGAACATAAGTCTACACCCATAGCACACACATAGCACAAGCTCTGCTCTCCTAGACCTGCTGATGATGGAGGCTTTAACCTCTCTGCACTGCTGAGGCTTGCTTCTCTGTCACACCAGCACTGAAAAGCCACCTGGCAGAAGTCAGATCAAACCTGGGACTGGGCACTTCAAGAGGTGGCTGCACTAAGGCTTGGAGCAGAGCCCAGAGTCAGCTCATGGGTGCTCTGAGCTCAGGCAGGGGTTTTAAAATCAAGGGTGTGCTTTGTCTTTCCTCCTTTAAAGCTTACCTACACCTCTTACTGTGATTTTGTGGAAAGCATTAGCAGAACTCTTTGCATGGCAATTAGTTTCTCAAAGCTAAATCCCAGATCTACATCCGTGTGTTTTGAGGAAGCTCAGATCCGTGGAGCTTTCATGTTCCACCCAGACTTGGACAAGTTGGCTTCATCTCTAAATCAGTCACCCACAAATCATGGGCTACTAAAGAGAGCCCAAAGAAAGGAACTGAGACCATCAAGGCTAAAACCCCACCATGGAAGGGCCCACACCTGCAGTGGAATTTTTCTGGAACACCAATGGTCCTGGTCTTTGTGATTCCAGTGTGCTACCTTGAATATGGGAGCTAACAGGAAACAAGAGCTCTGGCAGTACAGTGCTGAGCTCAGGACAGAGACACTGCAACAAACAAATTAACTCCTTGCTTTAACCAGGCTGCCTCCACGAGTTCATGACAATAACTCCCTTGTTAACCATAATATACTACGATAGCCTGAAGCCTGCCCTGCTCTCAGAGGATCTGAACCAGCCAAATACTGTCAGCCAAAGAAAGAGAATGGAAGCAGGTCACATACCTGTGGAGAGAGGCCATTGCTAACAGGATTCATGTGGTTGGCAGGAGCTGCAGCATTCATGAAGCTGTCTGAGTAGCTGGAGAAGCTGTGTCGGGCCCCATAGGCAGAGCCGGTGTCGGCAGCGGCAGCTGCAGCAAGTCCTCCCTGGTGCATGGTGGATGGTGGCAGGGGCTGGGGTCTGTGTACTGTGCTTCCCCCATCTGCAGGGAGAACGGGGGAAGAAGCTGTCAATTCCTTCATAAAGGCCAAAGCCAACTGGCATCAGTGATACTCCTTCCACTGAATCCCAGTATGGAGTTTTACCCGGAACAAGGGACGATACGATACTTTCTAATAATGTGCTCATCGTTTCAAAGCTGAGCAGAACAACTACAGTCATGAGATACATTGATACAGCAGAAAGGACCAAGAGGCAGAGGAGAAAACTGTGGAGTTTCCATTGAGTAGGGGAAAAACCTGGTCATCCCAACTCGAGGAAAACCACCTGTGTATTACAAGAGCCTCAATGGGATGTCATGCATCAGGGAAAGGATGATGGGATGATATAGGGCTAGAGAGGACCAGCAGCGCAGGTGCTCACCTTGGGAAATGGTGGTTGTCGGGTAGGTGGAGTCTGGCAGTTGGTCAGGAGGGAGGGTCGTCATTCCTGTCGGTGGGAATCCCCCTGGCAGCAAGTGGTTGAAAGCTGCAAGCTGGTTCGCTCCTGCCTGCTTGCGCCATCTCGCTCTTCGGTTGCTGAACCACACCTGATGGGGAGAGGAAAGGCCATGTGTGACTCGCCCTGAGCTGCTGTCCCACCTCAGCTGGGGAAACACAGCCTGAATGACAGCACTGGCCAAAATCAGCTCCAAGTTCCTGCCTAACACAGACGTTGTGAGAAGCCATCTCCGATCCTCAGCTTCCTTCCTCCCATATGAAGGCTCAGAACATCGGGGCTGTTGAGCCCAGAGAAGAGAAGCTGCGTGGAGAGCTCAGAGCAGCTTCCAGGGTCTGAAGGGGGCTACAAGGATGCTGGAGAGGGACCTTCATCAGGGGCTGGAGTGATAGGACAAGGGGTGATGGGTTCAAACTGAAACAGGGGGAGTTCAGGCTGGAGATAAGGCAGAAGCTCTTCCCTGTGAGGGTGCTGAGGCGCTGGCACAGGGTGCCCAGAGAAGCTGTGGCTGCCCCCTCCCTGGCAGGGTTCAAGGGCAGGGTGGACACAGGGGCTTGGAGCAACCTGCTCTAGTGGAAGGTGTCTCTGCCCATGGCAGGGGTTGGAACTGGAAGATGTCAAGGTCCTTTCCAACCCAAACATTCTATGATTCTATGACAATGCTGCTACCACCCTGTCTCCTGGGTGAGGATACTTGCATTTGGAATTGTTAAAGATACTCCTCAGCATGGAAGCATGTATCAGCAGCAGGGTGAGATGAAGAGGAATAATTTAGCTTGTGTATTATTCCAAGAGAGTCCATAGCAAATAGATGCATTGCTACCACCTGGCCATTCTGCCTTGTTATCTGACAACTATGTGAATTATGCTGAAGGATTAAGCACCATAATAGCAACACGGCTGCTCTGTTAGGAGGGATAAATAGACAGATTAGCATCATGGCTTCAGTGTTAGACAAGCTAAATAGATAGAACCAGACCGGAGGGAATACAGGGGTTTCTCAGCTTCTCTCTACTGCAGCAAATCACTGTTGTCTGTATGCTAAGACATGCTCTCCTTGCAAGAGGCACTGCAGTGTACGCTAGGATTGTACTGCAGCCAAATTAAATCTCTGGGCATTAAAATAAACCCAGGATTAATGCATAATAAACCCAGGATTAATGCACATGCAAAGCTGGGTTCATGTTTCCTACAGTGCTAGTTTACCTGTAAGATTCAAGGGGAGATTTTCCTAAATGCATTTGTCTGCCCTGATGTGTTTTATCATGGGCAATCTCCCTTCTGCATAGTGGGAAGGGCTTCTCAAGCTGTCTCTTGGGCTTGGTTTACTTCGTTTAATCAGAGAGGCTCTCAGGCCCCATCCCTGTTTGGGGTTCAGAAGTATGCGGATAAGCTTTCAAGCCAGATGAGAATGCAGCTGCTGGACTTTGTGAGGCCTAAAGGTCTAGAAAACACGATTAAATTTCACAGCAATGGAGCAAAAATCAAGAGTGTAAAGCATTCGGGGGGGAAAATCCTCCATCAGGCTTCCAAGCTGCTCAGTGTCAGATCAGAAGCTGGGGTTACAAGGGTTTGAGTCCAAACTGTCCCCACATCTCGTGAACCAAACCAAAGCTCCCTTCCCTAGATAGAGCAGAACCTTAGTCCAATGTGCCTCGCACTTCAGACGTGATCCCAATCTCAAAGTGGGTCTCTCTGACCTTTAAATTGAGTCCCCCTGCAGATGTCACTTACTGGTTTGCCTTTTTCTTACTGTGGGTCCATCTCATTCACAAGGCAGCATGTTTTCACTGAGAGCTGCTTATTTCACTGACTGTTGCCTCCTGGTCCACATGCACTGCAGTGGTTCTTGTTACAAAACCAAACATACACTGAGCTTCACACACAGGGAGGCTCTTCGGACCAGAGTATTGTTGCCCTTTCTCCTCATCTGTGTGAAAACAGTTTGATCAAAAGCTGCTAATGATAGCTCTGTGTGAGCTGGTGCTGGCTAGGAAGGACCTAGTCCTTCACTTCATGCTGTTATTTACATCCATTGTACAGTGAAAACCCAGTTTTCTTTGGAAGAGTTGGTCTCAAATAAGCCCCCTGAAATGTAGACAGTGCTGATGTCAGGTCCTTGGCACCAAATGTGTCGTTTTACAGACCTGTTCCTACTGCACTGCACTACTGGCTGAGGCAGCAGAACCTCTTAGCACCTTCCAAAAGGTTGACAGAAATGGGTCAGCTTACATCCGATCTGCATTGATCAACAAAGTCCATGCAGGTCAGAATCCCTGTGTCCAGTTTTGGCACCAGAAGTCGCTAGCAAAATCTAGGACAGAGTTAAGGAGAGAGAAATGAATGAACATTAAGGTCTGCAGCACTTCACAACTCTTTTATACAGTCCAATCCGTGGCACAGTTTCTAGGAGCTATACAAATGGATAAATAACCTTTTGTTTGCCCTGGTCATGCAAAGAGGACCTGTCCTTTCCTCATGCATGTATGTGTAATCCATGTCTTGAATTAAGGGCTCCTCCTCTTTGCTTCCACTTTTGCAGTGAGGGGCATAAACCCTTAATATTTCTGTTAGCTGAACATAAGGAGAGAAATAAACCTTCTCTCTTCAGAGGAAGAGGCCTGGTCCCAGGCTGGAAGAGCTTCCACTCCAAAAAAGAGATCTCAGTGCTGAGAATAGCCTAGAAAAAGCAAAATACCTGAAGGGCAAACACAAGCAAAGAGCTGAATCCAGGCAGGGAAAGGGAAATCCAACTCCAAGAATGTAAAAGCCACTCAGTGATTCCTGACACTTTCCCAACACCACAAAGGGTGGGAAAGTTCCTTTTTTATAACCAAGAGCCAGATGCTGGCAAATCCACTTGGGATTAGAAGTTCAGACGCAGCATGTGGAGTGAGATGGGCTGGTACGGGACACGCTTCCCTGGCACCATCCCCACCATGCCCGTGGTGGTTTGTCACTTGGCTTGGCTAACACATGATCAAAACACAGCTTGGCAAAGGTTTATGCTGGCTTAGGTTACACCACGTGAGGTTATGGCTGTCCATGCACCACCACACGTGTTTGCAGCCGTTGGTCAGAACCTGTGTGTACAGCTCCTCCTGTCTTGCTTCTCCACAGCCGGTGAAGGGGACGTAGTTCCTTTGGTTTTTAAGGGAGATAAAAGGATCCTTTTACAACAGGGTAGAGTCAGCCAAAAAGACCTGTGAATGGGCTGTTCTTGGGGTGTCTTGCTTACTTTGGGCTACAGTGGGCTTTGAGAAAAGCTGACTTGCAGAAGAGTGGACTATCACCAGAGAAAGTCAGTTCTTACCTACGCTACAGGCTCCTTTTGGGACTCGAGGACTGCATTTCTCATTTGAAATCAGTGGAAACATTGCTGCATTCAACTCATTTGGGTCCTTACACAAGCCATGCATCAGATCACCTCTAAATTGAGAATAAAACCCACTTTTTCTTACATCTTAGCTTATTTCAACAACCAGCCACCTGAGATAGAGGCTCTTTCTAACTGCCAGTAGGCACCATACCTGGCACAGCAAGAGCTCCTTCTCAGCTGGAGCATCAGAGCAAAACAAGTAAGAAATGATAATAACAGTAAACACACATGCACCTAATGAGATTCACAACTACATACTTAGAAGTAGTGCTTCCTACCAGAGCCTGCCTGGAGAATCCAGCCACAAACACACTGAAACCTTCCACAAAGCAATTGATAGGATTTCTCTTCCCATGCAGAGGAAGGGACGTTTCATGGCCCAGACAGGTTGATTCTGCCCCTTATTTATAACCCACAGAAAAAAAAAGATGATCCATTCCAGCAAATGACGTTAGCAATTCTTCCCCTTCCCCTGCCTTAAAGGTGGCTCAGGCCTTTATGCTTATAAATCATTTTATTGGTAGTTAAAATAGAGAGGCTGGAGCATGGAGCTGAAATGCGAGGTGCACTTCAAAGGGAACCTGCTTTCATTTCCCAACAGTTAAGGTTTTATCAGCCACTAAAGATTCCCCCTGCCAGAGGATCCTGTTACACCACGTTAAGCCTGGGGTGAAGGCTACGGCTGCTAAACCCACACTGGTGGGAAGAGGAGGAAGATTTGGAGCTGCTGGTCTGTCTGTGGAGACATTCTGGAGGCTGCTGGGGCTCATGGATTGCATAACCAGAGTTCTGTGCTGGGGCAAATGGAGGGAAAAGGGTTGTGTGAAGAACTCACTAGCATTAAAACCAACACATCAGAAACCTGCTTTCTCTCAAAAAGACAAGGTCTTGGTGATCGTTCGTGCATTGCAAAGAGTTCCTGCCCTGTGTAAACATGCTGCTTTCCAAGGGCATGGAAGTATAATGTAGGCCATGGAAGACAACAGTTTGTACCTGCTAGAGACGTTTGGGGCTTTTGTCCCTATGAATCGTTTTCCAAAGGATGTATTCACTAGACAGGAGATGTTACAGAAACTGCTTCAGGGGAAGCAGAGATACAGGACTGTCCTCATGGAAAATAACTTGAAAGAAGATATCCAAGCGGGTTCTTCACGTTCTAGTCATGCCCAGGGTCCAGGTAAAATCAGAGCCACGTGCACCTTATGCAGGAAGTGAATGTGCTCCTCCTGATGCTAGATGCTCACTGCAGAGTATCACTCAACCTGTTACCTTCCCCATCTCCTTCACAGATGGGAGAGGGAGGCATGGTGGGACTAAGAAACCTCTCCAATCCATCACTGTCTGCCTGGCAGAACCAGCTGATCTCACAAGGGCCCATCCTCCCGGCCAGGCTGGGATTGGGGCAAAGGTTAGAACTGGTTCTTATTTAACCTGAACGCCTGCACCCAACCCTGCCAGGCCCGAGATGTCCCAGCCACTTGTTGTCAACCAGTGGAGAAGGGCTGCAGAGGCAGCTGCCTGCCAGGATGGGGCTGGACTGAATTATCCCTGCAGCCGCCCAGATATGGGTCAGCTCCCACAATTTGTCAGACAAGGAGAGGAAAGGAAGGTCAAAAGAGGCTCCTGTGGGAAAGAAAGCCTGTTGTGTTCCTGCTCAGCCTAATCAGGACTTGATGTTGGAGAAAGATAGATGGGATAAATGAGCTCCTA